TCAGCCCTGCTACTGAAGAAAGACAGGTAAGCGAGTTTTTCGCAACGCGATTAAATGTCTTACGACATGTGCGTGACGCAGATAGCCAAGACAAGCAGAAGGAACAAGCGGATTCTAAAGGTAGAGGTTATATTAAACGTTATGAGGTCGGAGACTAAGTTCTACTCGATGCTAAAAACCTACCTACAAATGTAGTGTCCGCCGTCTGTAAGACAAAGTTGCGTCCGCGCTTCATTGGACCATCCACGGTCGTCTCCAAGAAGAGACTTGCGTATACGCTCAACCTTCCACGCAAACTGCGCACACACATCTTGTTATACATGGGCTAGCTTAAGCCGTATCAGGATCCGTCCCACGTGAACTTGGAGGCGCTTGCGCCGCACAGGTCGGCCTTGCCATCGGTTGCTGAATTCGTATCAGGAGGTCAAGCTGAGCCTCCATCCGGGCTTGGCCCAACTCCAATGCCTGGACACGGACTTGGCCCAACTCCAACACCTCAACACGGGCTCGCATCGCGTCAAACGCACTCTGGGTCTGACCCAATGTCTCACGGAGACCACTCAACTCGAGAAGCACCTTCTCATGCTCCTCCGTCGGTATACCGACCATCCCCAACGCTGCCGGATGAGCAAGAGAACCGCCAGTTCCATGTGGAGCGACTCCTGAAACGACGTCGTCGTCAGGGTCAATACCAGTATCTGGTGAAGTGGCGAGATTATTCGGATTCGGAGAACTCATGGGAGTTTGAGGCACCCCTTCGGTAGGATTGTCCATACGCCGTTGATGACTTTGAACATCGTGGCAAGGGTCATCCCTCGACCGAGTGCGCTTCTCACCAATAGTGGTGGAGGTAGGTGGTAAGTTGGGCGCCGCTTGACCATCACCCACATCAGCCGGTACAGCCGGAGCATAGCGTGTGCGAGTTTGCAAATGTCCCCTGGACTATGGCTTGGCGTAATTATACCGAAGCTTTCGTTCTAGACGAACATCTGCCACATCGGCACTTGCTCTGAGAGCTAACACGCTGCTGAGGTGTCGTTTCCGATACACCCAGCGAACAAAAGCGTTGTCTTCTTCCTCCTGAGATTCGCCTGCAAATAGGTGGATGGGTATACCCTTCATCGGTGGAACCGCTACACCCCGTGCTTGCGTGTCAAGTCGCACCTTGCATTGACTCTGAGTCGTCAAGTAAGGTTGCAGGTACCTCTCGCGAAGTACCTGTCGACTCGACATCTCATCAGAAGATGTTGGCTCAGCGCCAATGGCCCACGTTGCCAAAGAACGACCTACCGTTTGGCGTATACTATCTTCCACACTGAGTGGAGTGAACAGCTAGCCACGACGACCCTCAAGAGTTGCAGCAAGCTGCATACGGCGCTGAGCGCTCTCCTCTGGTTGGATAGCCAACTGTTGTTGCTCATCGAGCGGATTTGTAATGATGGCATCGCCCACGATGAGTGTTTGATGCGGCTCCGATGGCGCGTTGGCTTCGCCACGCTCGGCAAATGGGCTTGGTGCAGTATGAGGCGGTGCCTCTTGCCCTGGTGAGTCGGACATTGTCCTCTCTTTACCATGTACATAGGTATCGCTACCATATACACCTCCACATCGATGCCCAGGTAGGACGAGAGAGTCGAGGACTCATGGGGTGGCGATGCCATGGTGATTTGTGTTATACCAACCGTAAGGATGAAGCGCACACACACCGTCCTCTTCGAGGAAAATAGTCGATTGACGTTTTGTGGTAAAGTCAGTCGGTAGGGGAGGGTGTAACGGGGTTACACGTCGACTGGTAGTCGACAATAGGTGTGGTGCACACAAGGGATTGGATTCCCTTTTAAGGTGATAGTAGAACACAGTATCAATTGATGGAGACTGATGTTTGTCAACCATTGTATACGAGATCTTTTGAGATGTTTATTTAGGACATTAGCGAGTAGGTTAATTACGTTGTTCTAAGATGTTCTTTTAGGTTAAAAGAAGAAATATAGTGCAATTTCCATTTTGATCCGATGGACACGTGACTCTTTGAGGCGTCTTGTGATCGTTGAGGAGATAGCAACGCCTTGTTAAGGCAGCTACTCCTTGTGCACTTAGTGCGTTTGATTCTTTGAATCGTTTGGTCCCCCTGGAACAGGGACCGTAAGCTCTCTGAGCTTGTTGACTCTTTGAGTCGGGTTCTTTGAACCAAACCTTAGCTCTCGAAGCTGTTGACTCTTTGAGTCGGGTTCTCTGAACCTTAGGTTGCTCCATGAGCGGTAAGTCTTCCTCTGACTTAAGGAGATGTGTAGCTCCGCTTCAGATACACTGTATTATTTATCGTCTGTGTGAAGCGTGTTTTACTTATATACTTAATTTCTGCACTGAAACGGTGCATTTTTCATCGTCCATCTTTGCATTGCAGCGAAAACGCTTCCGCACACAGAGCGCGCCCTAGAGCCGCTCCGCAGTGAAGGTTTCGACAAGTCGCTGCTGTTGGAGACTATCGTGTTTGACAGGTTTCAAGGTCCAAGTGCTATACCATGGGACAGTGTCACCTGATTGGCTGATTACCATACAACGTGACATGTGAAATCACGACGGGACGATCGACCAAATGGGACGGGTGAGACAGGGCGACAGTTGGACACTTGGGACTGTGAGATGTGGACGCCATGTAACAGGATGTCACATGGGACAGGAAGAGGCGGACACCATATGTTATTTGACATGGTCAAGTTGTAGTTTTGGTTTCTGGTCATACATATCGTAGTGTTGAAGGAGGTAGTTCTTAACGCTCAATATATTTTACTTTAACTTCCTACATTTCTTGCACATGTGCAAATGACGAAAACCTTTGTCTAACAGCTGCTGGCTAATTCAGTCGCGATTTCTGTGCAGACAAATGGAAAGACGGTGGAGTCGTCGACTGGGAAGCATCACCTGCAGAGAACTGCTGCTACGTCACGATGAAGGTAAACAGTGGCAACGTGAATAGGTATGGACGCAGAGTAGCGTTTCGACGCTTTCTATGACGATAGAGAACGTGGTTAGTGACAAGACCGTCATCATAAGGCGCGACAAGACGAGGAATCCAAAACGCAGCAAAAGCTGATTGCGAAAGGAAGAAAACCGCTGTGGTAATTTGCATTACTGCCATGTCAATCCAGACCCCGTTGGCATCTGAGGTCGTCGTCGTAGGAGAACCAAATACTCGCGACCGGAATTCGTGGTGGCTCCAGCACCTGCGTCAACGAATTGCATTAGTGACCACCGGCTGAGGAGTCGGATACTGTGATCCATACGCGTTTGTAACATGTCGCTCTCTGGTGGGTGCGGGCTGCACATGTAGTGATCGTGCGGCTCATGCAGACGCCCGTGCATATGGCAAAGAGATAATAGAGTCCTCTATTGTCGAATCCGCTGGTGCCGCGGGGCAATAATTCACCGTTTTCGTCAAGTCCGGCTACATTGGATCGTCTCGGATACGATGTATAGTAATTGCGTGTATTTGTAAACGAACAGTAGAAGTGCGCTAGTCATAAACTCGGCGGGGATGACCTCTTTGTAAGTGCAGATGATTTAGAGCTGGTAGCTGGACGAATCGTTTACCATGCGTTTGCTGAGGTAGACAATGCCATTATTTCTACGCCACTTCTGCACAAAAAGCGTTGTCGGCATTGTGTTGCATCGCTTCATGACTCGACACAAGGCCTTGATCGATTTTTGAGAGAAAACGCTCAGGATGCATGCGCCGCACGTGCAGTATCCGCGGAAAACAAACTTGCCCCGGTACCACATGCTGTTAGCAGTACCTGGCGCACATAGACGTCCGCGCTCTTTGTTCTCCGAATCCAGAGCCACGAGTAGTAGCGTATATTTTCATGTGATGTAGCCGTAATACGTGGTTTTCTAATCATAGTTGACGGCGCGAAAGTTTGGCGGTGTAGTGAGTGGCAAGTGCGGTCACCGTGTTAATGGCGGCGTCCATGCGTATGATTGTTGAGGGCATGCCACTCCTTCGTAGTTGTCTTCTGCCACCGCGCGGATAGTACTAAGAGCTTATTAAGTGCTACTGGTTAGTTGCGTCGAAATACATCGTGCCACCGCGTCCGGTCTACCGCAAGCTCTGTTCAGCCGCGACTTTAAACACAAAAATACTATTGCGCATTGATCTCGGCACGCATAATGGCAGCGCACAGACCATCGGCGTGATGCAATTACCAATGCATTGGCTGCACAACGATATGGCGGAAGACGCTGACGACGGCATGGTGGCGTGTATGCTCTTCATGCAAAGACCACGAGACAGGTACAGCATTTCGGAATGGTAATACGAGCTACTCCATTGATCGATCATAATAAATACGACGGATTATCGTGATACCCTGTATGAGCGCGCGGCATCAGGGTTGTATATTTCTCGCGGGGAAGGTGTGGCTACATGGAAAGCGGTTGAAATACTTTGCCGCGCACGCGATGTTTTTGATGTCCGGCTACGCAAATTGAATGAACGGAATGCTTGCAGGATGAAAATTACTGCTACCGTTTCGTGATAATAAAGAAAAATGTATCGCATCAAACGACCATAGCACGCACATCGTGTCAAGATTATACCGTAACGTATGGTCAAGTCGCCGACAAAAAGGATATGCGGATGCCCACTGCGAAAACAATTTTTGGACTTGAGTGTTTCGTTTCGAGGCATCTTTTTCAGCATCATGAACGTGCAGTTTGTTGTTCTTCATCGCTGACGGCGCCCACGTTTGCGTAATCGCCTGTCGTGACTATCAGGATATGTTGTTCACAGCTTCCCTTGTCGCCACTTAATAACGTTTATTTTACCTTTTTAGCAGCCCATTTTGTAGCGAGCAAAGTGTATGGTACACGTACCGTGTCCTATTGATGACGGTGTACAACACAATAGAGGCTAAGAGCAAAGGACGCTATAAGAACAATATCACAGTAAGTTTGAAGGGGCAATGATTCGAGGGAATGAACGTGTCAAGCAAAGATCTGCATTAGTTGGTCTTATTCGTATCTACTAGGCTCCTGGCTTTCTCTAGTAATGGCTTATTCTGGGCAAACAGTTGTGTGATCTCATCACTGGAGAACTTGTCTCCTTCCTTTTTTTGCTTTCTGTTGTACTGGAATACGTACTTTAAGAACCAGCAAGCATTCTCGATCTTGTCGATATTATCAATCTTTTCTCCGACCGACAGCATCTTGAACACAAATTCGGGAGACTCGTTTGTAATTAGCCAGGTGGCTATCAGCGGTTCCGATGTTTCGTCTGGGAATCGAGAATGCAAGTGCTTTTGCATGTTGTCGGCGCTGTCTTTCAAGCCATTGACAGACCGGAATTTGTGGAAGAGCGGTACCAATATTTCCGGTGAGATGCGTTCTGCCCACATGTCAGCCACTGCGACGTCGTCAAACGGTACCTTGCGACGTCTGGCGTAGTGGACGTACTTCATCAACAGCACAGCTCGCTTGAAGTCGATGTGTCCGGTTCCTTCCACTTGATGGTTGTGAAAGACCTGCCTTGGACTCTCACCCTTACGGTACCAATTCCACATTCGAAAACGGTTTGACAACGACTGCCCGATACTGTTTCTCTCCTCGCTCTTTTCCAGGTCGACAGGGTGGATCACGTCAGCAGCCAAGCCGTTTTGCTGACCTTTTCTCGGCGCCACGAAGCGTCCCTCATTCAGGCCAAGAGACGAGCTTGTGATGGTGGAAGCCACGCCAGTCTGGTTGCCATCGATCGCCAATGCATCACTCCAAAGCAAGAAGATGAAGACCCAGAAGAAGGGAGAGTGCGCACGCATGTTAAGTGCTTGACCGCTTTTTAGCAAATTGCGAATTGAAGCGACCCATGCAGCGTTGTTCGTTGCAGGGCGAAGGCTACGTGTGACACGTGTTTAACTTGCGTTGGTTTATCGAACCGATGGTACCGATCGTAGTTAAAACAAGCTGCGATGTTTTTTAACGACCACTTGTTTCACGATTGTGCTGTCGCGTAAATACCGTAGCCTCGTTACAGTTATAAAAGAGTGTCGTCAGCCAAAAGCCGGACCAATATAACCGACTCTATGATCATGGCAAACGATCGGTGGCTAGAGATGTGTACCTTTCGTCACTCGTTAGCCGTAGCGTTCCTTGGCTCATTTCTGGGGAGAAGAATGGAGAATGCATCTGCCGAAACGGAGTAGACCAACGCGGGAATGAATGGGGCACATGAATGAGATCGGTCCGCATGGGGGGCAGGATGCATTGCAGCGAGCTAGTTTTGCACAGAAACGCGACGGATATACATAAATAAAAAGCGCGTGATTTGCGACGCGCGTGCTGAAGAACTGAAGCATTGCAGAGGGTTGGCTCGGCGCTGATCGGTAGGTCTTGCGAAGAGGCGATTTCATTGAGGTAAACATTTGTAAAAACAGTACAGTGAAAAAAGTCGTAATCTTCCACTCGATTATCGTCAAACGTGAAGCACCATGTCACTACCGCAATGAAACCACTCTTACGAATATTCTATAAATGGGTGCTGGCAAATATAAAATTCAAGAAAATATAATACATACGCCAGATGATCACGGAAAAAAAGCTGCACTACTTATCCGAAGATAAAAAAGTGCACCGATTTATCAAAGTATAAACAAATGCACCAAATTACAAATAAATGCACCAATTTATCAAAACAAATGCATAAATAGCCAAATTAAATATTGCACCACCGACTTGCACCATGCGATTGAATATACACACGCCTGCGATATTGTGCACAATGCAGAGCTCCTCGGTTGTCTTCGTTTGTATCGAACACGTGATAGACTATATTAACACATCATTCTGCAATATTTTTCTCAGCAAATTCGGTCCGCCTGAGGGGGATTGAAGCATAACGCTCGCGTCGTAGAGCTCATATATCATGTGACAAAGGCACCAGCGTGTCAACCACACTCCGTGTTGTAGAATTTTATGTATAATGAAGACAGAAGACTGATCCGGCACTTTTGCATCGCCGTAATTGCTCGTGTTTATAATTCTCTGCAACACTTTCACAAATGAAATCAGAAACTTTGATGTTCAAACATTTGATTTCATATACGTGTGACTTCGGTGGTGGAGTACACCGCACTTGTGTACTTTTATCTACTTTCTGTTTGGTGCATTTTTCCTATATTTTTCATTTTGTATTGCATTGCTGATTTTCTTTCTAATATACTAGTACACTTTTATATCCCGTGTAAACATCATGATCAACAACAACATTACATTATCAATACCAACACGGAGCGTTTTATGACAGTGCCTTTCGATTTGCGTTTCTGCAAGCATGTGCGTGATTGAACGTAAGTTACCGCTACACTATCTACTAAGTGTGACTTTGCGCATTGTCCCATACATCGTCGAGAAATCACACGATAAACTAGAAGTAAGAGTAGTGGTCATAGTAAAAACGGTCCTACAATTGCGCCCACAAATAGGCCACGATTTCTTCATCTCATCTTCTCTTAAATGCCATCGTTGTATCAAAAGCCAAGCTAAGTACTATCGACAGTTTTCAAGGCAATTATCTACCGATGGCGCTTCATCGACAAAAGCAGTTGGAATGCTAAACAAATGACGTCAAAAATCACTTTTTTGAACAAAGAGGCCAAACCTTCGTGAAAAAAATAGTCAATAAATAGAGAGAATCTGTAGCTAGCCTTGATGAGGTCTTGAACATATTACACGAGACAATTATGTTCTCAATGGTTAGCTTTTTACGCTCGCACGAAAATTTATAGTATATGTATGCGTATGATGTCGACTCCACGTTTGTAGTGTGTCTTTCGGGTGAAGTCGCATAGATAGAGCGAGACACAAAGCTTTCTCATAATATATGCATGTATACACTCAATTATACACCTGTCTACACACTTTATCGAATTCCAGATTGATGTTACGCTATTGAAGGAAACAAATTTATCACTAATCGATTGTTGAAAACCTTACTGCGATTATGACAGAGATATCGATAGCGGTACCAATAACTCTACCAGAAGATCAAAGCACTTGAAAAAGCGATATATTGGTATCATCACATTTGTGCAAGTCTTGTACCGTTGTATCAATAGTATATATATAATCAGGATAAATAGTATATTTCGCGTACAATCTTAAAATATTACAGACTTATTCGATGATGCCAAAACACACGTCTTCGTAATCCAGAAGGTGGTCTTTTTGTGTAAGATCGGGGTATCGCTTGGATCCAACGGTATAAAGGGTTGACAAATAAATCACATTTCACATCAAATACAAACGCTGAGGATGTGATCCTTTCCATCAAATGTTCACGCCAGGGGACCGATAAAATTAGAAATGATACATGGTTATGCCAACAAACCGGGCTACATCATCGATCAAGCCGCGAGCGCTGTCATAATCCCTCTCATTGCATAGAACGTATCGATGAATTACATATTCTAAGTTGTTGATGTGTCTGTAAAATGCTCGTGTGTATTACAATGATGTAGGATGATCATGATTTCATGCGCTCCTGGTCTATCGTGCACAAATTATGTGCTCATTCTGTCCAATATATCATACGAATCCTAGAGATAACAAATGAAGTTTATCACCAAACATTGGGAGATACAACGATATGATATTGCCGCACAATTTAAAATATGCGATAACAAGGAGGGCTCACTCGATTTGTTTGTATATAAGCAAACAATAAGAAGTCATTTCTACGAACGCACAATACTATAAATCAGAATTTCCATAACAAGATTACGTTGTAAATCTACATTGATGACAACTATATATACTGATAAAAAGACATTGATAGTTATGAATCACATTTTTATTGGATTTCATATCATTTCGATAAATGAGAAGTCAAAGCTTTAGCTTTCTTCGCTTTACTCAGCTGTTTCTTGCTCAACCTGTATCTTTCCTCGATTTGATCCAACGGATGTGACAAGACAAGAGTGTGAGTTTATTTACATGCATATAGCCAAACAAAGATTAGCTACATAGCATATACAGTTCGATTTGAAGCCATCTTTCTTTGTATGCTTAGTGTACTCCTTTTGTAATCTTCCTGTTATAGATGACCATCATACAATGTTAATCCTTACATACAACGTTTGTATAAATATATATATATTAAGATATAGAAACAGATTCAAGATTGTAAGTAAGGCCTACAAGATATTTGAAGAGTTCTCAGCCACTCAATGAGACCAGAAAGTGAATCATTTCGTATATTAACGTGTTGCATTGCTAATGGTTGGTGCCAAATAGGCTTCTGAAGGGTATTGTTGGTCGATAACGTTCCTCAATATACCTCACCTTCAACAACAAATAGGCTTCTAAAAAAATTTTGCTGGTAGACGCAGGTTAATGCTGTTCTCCTAATACCTTCTTCACTTTTGTTCGTTGAAAACACGGCAGTTCTAAGGTGACGCAAAAACACTGAGCAAAATTCCGCTTTCCTTCGCCCTCGTCACTTTTCCCGTCATGAGCGGTCCGGCTGTGCCGAAACCATAGCGTAAGAAGACATACAATGAAAGTAATCCACCAGCTGCTGGATTATTACCTTCAATTGTCATCAACAATTCGGTACAATTACGCGGAATATCGTACCGCAGCTAGTGATGCAGCTGTACAGTAGCTTAAAGCGATGATAGTACTGATTTGTACGCGTGTATTTGATCTGCTGATACTGTTAATCCTTTCATTATTTGCTTATCATTGATGAGCTTTCCTGTAACCCGGCGTAGACAAAACAGGGTAAGTCAAACCGGTTTATACTGCCTGATGCACAAGAGATGTCAAGGGTACTTAAACATATTATCATCCTAGGTAGTACAGATTCTTATAGTTAGCAACTTTGAATCCGACCCAGACTTACTCTTGCGTAAGATCTTGGCTTTTGGCCCAACATTGTGTCGATACTTGTGTTATCGCGTAGTGAGATCCATTCAGGGAGAAGACGTGGCTATGGATCTTGGTGATACCAGACTCCATAGCCATGTCTAGTAGGCGTTTTGCTTTATAATATATAAGCGGGTGGAAAATTGCGATTGCATATGCAGTCATGTTGTAAACGGACGGTTCAAGACACCATAACTGCTTGCATAGACAAAGCCAATATCACATATTAGGGTATTCTATTACATGTACCCCGAAGCAATTAGTCAAATGAGTGACTACAATTACTTATGAGACCCCTCTTAGGTCACTTTTGTCACAAACACTTAATTGTCAGATTCACTCAAGTCAACATATTCCGTCGCACACTTCACAAATATATGCGGTGCACGGCCAAGGCTGCCAAGGGCGCATCTGCGCGACTCGGGGCAGCCGATAGCAGAAGTACTTGAGACTAATGCGGCAGACGGTCAGCGCCATAAACAAGATATTTCAATTTGCATCGTCTGT